AGTCATATATTATGGTAATCTCATCTTTACTAACTACTGGAGTGGGATTGTGATTATACCATTTTTCTTCCACTGCGATCCCAAAGCTTATACAGATGGCATGATGCAAGTATATGCATATTTTATTATGTCGGACCAAGTACTCGTGCTTCGCCAGTTGAGGACAGCCGGATATAAGATGATCTATTGTTTCTGAGTATTGTTTGCACATTCGACATCTATCATTTGCTGTTATTTTGAGGATATGTTTCTCATAATGTCTTGTACGTAAGGCCTGGTCTTGGGCGGCCGTTATCAGGGCCTCTGTTTCACCTTTTACCTTCCCTCTCGTGAGCCACGCAAACGTTTGGCATTCATTAATCCCTGGCCTCTTAATTCTCTTCACGTATTGACCATGAAGCTGCTTTCGTATCCATTTATCCTTCAAGGTCTTCCTTGTCATGGCCTTAATATCTGTAGACAGTAATTCTTCATCCTCGACCGCTTGATTTTCTATTTCCGGTAAATGTGTCTTTACAATTTTTATCGCTGACTTGACTACTGACTTTCCAACTCGAGGGTGCCTTTCACATCTCCAAATTTGTCTAACTAACTTATCATTTCTACGGCTTCTTAAATAATTGGCTATGGATACAACTGTATTATCATAAGTCATCTCTAATTGCCTGAGTCCTCTACCTCCTTCTTTACGACTCACATATAGCCTGTCTACATCAGCTCTAGGATGCAGCTGTCCATGAATAGTAAGCATCTTCCTTGTTTTACGATCTAGGTCTGCAATTTCCTTCTGACTCCAATCTATGATTCCAAAACTGTATTCTACTATTGGAACAGCTATACTGTTGATGGCTAGCAGTTTATTTCGTGCTGTTAAGTCTGAACGTAGTACCATCCTAAGCCTTCTTAGATATTCTTTACTGATGGTCTCTTTCATTTCATCATTACACAATTCTGGGTTTTCATAAACTCCAAGATATTTATAGCTTTCTCCCATCTAGGTTTTTGATGGTAATATTTGCCTGGACTGTTATGTTTTCCGTTTTTTCCCCACTTTTCCGTTCTTTATTGTCGCTTTGGCGCACTTATCTAATCCGAAGTTCATATGAATTGTGCTACTGAAGTCGTGAACTATCTTAATTTGCTCTTCAAGCGCTGTGTCCGAACTCGCGTATAGCTTTAAATCATCCATGTACAGAAGATGTGTTGTTGGCTGCTCATCTTTGAGTAGTTTATATCCCAATTTTGGCTTTTGATTTAGCATTCTGGACAGGGGGTACATCATCATGCAGAACAGGAGAGGTGATAGTGAATCTCCTTGGAATATTCCAGATTCGATTTTAATCTGCGGGGTATTATTGATAGGTGCATCCTTAGATTGTATCTTTAGCTGGGTGTTCCATTCCTTCATACTTTTTTCACACAGATTGATGATGTTTGGGTCAATTTTGAATATTTTAAGTATTTTCAATATCCACTGGTGTGGTACGCTATCGTAAGCTTTTTGATAATCTATCCAGCATAATGATAGATTTTTCTTTTTACTGTGTACGTCCTTCATTATCTTTTTTTATATAATAGTAGATCTTTACATCCGTATGAACCTTTGCAGCATCCTCGTTGCTCAGCTGGAATCAACTGTTGAGCTATTAGGTGGTCATATATACGAGACGACATTATCCCAGTTAGTAATTTGTACAGTACGGATAAACAAGTAATGGGTCTGTAATTTTCTGGCTTAGAAGGGTCTCCTTTCTTGTAAATAAGATACGTGATGCCACTATTCATCCACGTGGGCAGATCTTCTTCTCCTTTTAGTATTTTTGTTAAGATTACCGCTAATGTTTTATGGGTGGCACTTATCTTCTTTAACCAGTAATTATGGATTCTGTCAAGCCCACCGGCTTTCCAGTTGGCAGCTTTACTGAGTACATCCTTTATTTCCTTCTCCGTGATGCTTTCACCGGTCGTCATGCGTTCTAGGTGCTGATAACTGTCAATAGTTTCCTTCATCCATTCCGTGTTCTCGTCGATAATTTCCTTCCTGCGCCAGATTTCCGACCAATAGTGTACTACATCTGTCTCTCCCGGCACGTCTTGCGGTGTCTCAGCTTTTCCATTAAGTTCTTGGTATAACCTTCTGGTGTCATATTGGAATAAATAATTCTGTCTGCGGAATGCGACTCTTTTATTTACCGCTTTCTACGTTGGGCGTAAGCCTGTATCTTTTGTTTTAGTTGTTCTTCTACTCTTACCCGGTCTTCTAAATTGTTTATGGTGTATCGACATTTCAATTGTTCTAACTTTCTTCTTGTTGCATTTCTCAATTTTGAGTTATCTTCTTCATGGAGGATTGAGAGATCGGATCTGAGTTTTGAGATCTTGGCCTCTATTCGCTTCTCCCAGGGGGCAGAAGTCTCGGTGTATCTATTTTGTAGGTGTCTGATTGGTTCTTCAGTTAATTTTTGATGTGGGCTTACTTTCATTGTTACTATTTTTGCTGTCGCATACAATAGGTGGTTAACCTCCGTAATATTTTCAATCAGTGTTTCTTCCAAGATTTGTGAAACTGCTTCGTTTGCTTGTTTTACTATCATCTTTAGTTTCATGTTATCTTGGAGTTTTGGTAGTTTCAGTCTCTCGTTTATGGGTGAAGATTTCGTAGAAACGTATTCTTCGAGAATCTCCTGTTTGATAGTATTATCTGTTTGATCTTCACTCATATCTTCTGTATCCGGCTCAGTTGTCACTGAGTCCAACTCACGTTGCTCTCTCACTTCGATCCGTATTGCTTCGCTTACTTTACTTTTCATCGCTCTTATCATATTTTCATTAAATTTTCCGCTGTTCAGTAGATATCTGCGCTGCGTTGCGAGCTTCTTGGAATCCATGTACGGTCTGCTATTAGGATTCCTACTTCTCCACATGTTATAAACCTCTGCTTCGCCTATTGATTGCTTTGCATTGGTATAGTGGTAACACCACATCAGTTCGTTAATTTCTTCATAACTCCAAGGCCTTTTAGTAAGTTGATTTATTCGATTCTCCTTAGAGCGTTGTTCAAGTGATGCTGGGCTCTGACCATGTTCATCAGGGTAACCAGCAGCTCTTTCCGGATGGTTTTCTGTGATCGTTATGGTGTTGAGTCCGGTTTGAAGGGTCCTTTGTGTTACTGATCTAGTGGCGTATGTTGCATTTGCCTGTGTTACCACAGCTGCGTAGTCTTGGTTTTGTCCATTCTCGTTCCTTTGTCTATAGCCTAGGGTGCTGTTAATCCGGGAGGATGCGCCACCCATCACACCTTCACTCCCTTCAGGCTGAGCATCACGACGGTTTCCGAAGAAGGGACCAGCCTCAATCACCTTCCCGCCTCGTAGTTTCGTCTTACTTCTCGTATTCATTTACAGTTAATTATTTTTCACATTGCCTCCGAACAATGGTGCAGCTCAGGGTTTGGCAGAATAAGAAGACTACCAAATCCCGAACTCCCCGTCTAGGGCCGTGGGGGCGACGCTCCCCATGTACCTTCCCTTAAGCCCGGGTCGTAGACCCGACCTTAAAAGTAGATACCCCCTGCGGGGTTATTATATTATTATTATTATTATTATTATATATATTATATTATTATTTTATATATTATTATTATTATTTTATTATATATATTATTATATTATTATTTTATTATTATATATTATTATTATTATTATATATTATTATTATTATTATATTATTATTATACACAGGCTCGCATCTTAAGGGGGGTCTTCTATGTAACATATTTGAGGGCTTCATTAAAAAGATACGGGGTTGAAGTTTAAAAATAAAAAACAATTTTTCTTAATATCTTGAAAACCGTCAACTGGAATGAACTAAATTTGGTATGTGGATTTACCTAAGCATTGTCCACATTCAAAAATTAACGCGCACTAGTGGCGGAGATACAAGGGATTAGTGGCATTATTTTTCCGAATAAAAATAGTACGCTACTGTTCTTTTTTTCGAAACGCGCAAGTTTTTGAATTTTACCCTCAATTAAGTTTTGTCCTAGAGTGCATTGTTTTTGTAAAAATAAAAATAAAACAAATTAGATAATCAGAGCTTTATTTCAAAAATATTCAAAAAGACAACCATTCTGATGGATACAAGTGCATCTTTTTAATAAAGAATAAACTATTTCCGAAAAATCTGTTGTGGTTTGAATTTGATGAAACACTTTATCTATTCTTTCTTGTAACTGATCAACAGTATTAAGTTGTTCAGCATATTGCCGAAGTCTTGGAAATGAGCGCGTAAGAACCTTTGGCGTCTGTTAACATTCAAAAATTGAAAAACGAAACTTTTGACTTGACTTTTGCAAAAAAAAAGGTAATAGTAACGATAACAACCGAATAACACATAACTTTGACAACCTATCTCCAAAGAAACGTTATCAAGGCCTCCTATTCTATTTTAAAACTAATTGTATCTCGGCTCTTCATGAATGATATGATTTGTGTTGTTTTTATTTTTACGAAGACAGTGCACTCTAGGAAAAAACACAAGAATTGAAGGGAAAATTCGAAAAATCGCGCGTTTTGGAAAAAAACAGTGGCGTACTATTTCTATTTGGAAAAATAATGCCACTAATCCCCTGCGTTAATTTTAAGTAAAGACTTTTGAATGTGGACAATACTTGGGTTAATCCACATACCAAATTTTAGTGCATTCCAGTTGATGGTTTTGAAGATATCCAAAAATGTTTAAACTTCAACTTAAACTTCTTTTAATGAAGCCTTCGGTGGAAAAAGTGTTACATAGACCCCCTTAAGATGCGGTCCTGTGTATGATGCTTCCATTCTGGTCATGACTTGTGAATCACCCTATATATAAATTTCGGTCTCACGAAAAGTAGCATCATCACCTGTTTCATTCCCCACAAGCTATTTGGTTAACTCTCAGAAGTTAATGACAGTAGCAATTCATCTTCTTATATATAATTTTCGGAGTCATGAAAAGTAGCATAATCACCTGTTTCGCAGTTCCTCCATGGCTTTGAGTCTGTCATTGGCCAAAGACATCCACCTCACGTTCTCTTCTCTGCTGGATTGAAGTTGGGCTTCCAAGCTTGATATCTTGGTATGCAACTCTGAGGTGTGCTTTTCCAGTGCATGCACCTGTGAAATATACTGTTCCAAAGCAGCTCTATTGGGTTGCTGTTTTGCAAATGTCTCTTTCTGACTAAAAATTTATAAGATCAAAATAGGCACACGAATATATTATCTAACATAACCCTCAAGGGTACCTTTCATTCTTATGCTTTTCCTCCAGAAGGCAGGCTTTCAGCTTTTAGCTCTTCTTGCAAACTTGCAGCTGCTAAACTATGCTTGTCTCTGTCGACTTTCAATAGCGTTTGATACTTTATAATTTCTTCATCTTTTGAACTTAGTCTGTCTTGAAGATCCTTTATAGAACCCTGAAGCATGTAGCATGTTAATGAATATCAAAGCGTACATTACTGCAACTAGTTAAATACGATCAGAGCTGATTCGTTGAGTATTGTAATTAAAAAACATTTGAGGTTTATGAAAGGACCTTTCATCAGGACCTTACAACGATCAATATAAAACAATTTCAAAAACGAAAAACCACATATATCTTGACATACCTTCAGCGCTATAAGTTCATTCTGTAATTGAGTTTCGGTGCCAACAGAAATATTGTCACCTCCGGCACCACCACTAGAATTCATTATTTCATCCTTCTTGTTTTGCAATTCCACGATGTGTCTCTCATAAAAACTAATTTGACTTTGCTTGTCTCCGATTTGCTTCCTGAATAGATTAATCGCCATCTCATTCTCACTGGTTATCGTAATAATAGAAATTTATTAATCCTAGAAATATAATCTACGTCCGCGGTTCGTGCGGCCCAACGATATTTGGTTTTTACCCTTTGCTATCAATCGCAGCCTACTAGCTGCTTGAGCTAACTCAGCAGGCGACTGGAGCTCGCGGTAAAAACTCTTGATTATCATTATGTATATTGCTATGCCATAACTCCGCGAGACGTATGATTATCTTTCATTAAACATAAGTTGTTTGGAGAGATTGCTTATTTGTTATTCATTATTATTTATCTTGATAGCGAACCGAAGGGTTCTAAATCATACCCAAATTGAAGAATTTCTTAATGAAAGTGAAGGAATTTCGTTATCAGAATGTGGAATTGAAGTTGAAGACAACGTCTCAGGAGATGACGTGCAGGGTGGTACTGAAGTTAAATTGGTCAAAGAAGCTGAAGATCCATCAAAGTCTGTTCCAAATGATGGTGAAATCATAACGCTAAGTGCCACCTACAAAAAAATATTATTCGTATTGTTCATATGGGTTGGACAGTCAGATGTGTTCAAGAGTTGACCTACTCACGAAACGGCTTGAAGACTTGCAGATTCCAATTCCGATCTCAGAAGATACATTTTGAGCCAGGGATTTTGTGTTAAACTATATACAGGGTGTTCCTTAATGATATGCGAATGTTTAAGGGTGTCAATCTACATGAAAAATTAATGTTAGTTTGCTTTATAAACTATGGTCCAAAAATGTTTCCTTACAAAAACTCGGTGTGCTGAAGTTTCAGGAAAATGGAAATTAATTAATATTTTTACTGATCTTTTTGCCAAATAACATTTTTTGAATTCCTCGTTCAATTTAAAACAAATAACCACTCTTGAATTGTTTCACTTTGATGTGCCATTTTTGACTAAAAAAATAAAAACCGTTCTATTGTCCGAGAAAATTTATGTAATGATTGAAGAATGAATTTAGCAATAAATATCTAGTTGCTCTGGAATATGTCACTGGCCTTTGACATCTGACAAGTCTCTGCTATTCAAATCTGTTCGATGTGACATCTTTTTCATTATTTAGTTTTTACAGTCTTGTTAATAATGGTGAAATATTCAAATGCAGAAATGGCGGAAATGCATTACGTGTATGGCCTTGCCGACGGTTATCACCAGAGATATCCCGATCGAGCTTTGCCAGATAGTCGAACCTTTTCTAATATTCATCGTCATTGAAACTGGTTCTGTCCGAAAAGGAACATCTGAAAGTAGACTTCTATGTGTGAGAACACCTAAAATTGAGGAAGCAGTGCTGTCGAAGAACATCCTGAAACGAGTACGAGGAAGATCGCTAGACACTTAAATATTTGCCACCAAATTGTTTGGAGAATTTTAGTGGATTTTTTGTTATATCCTTAACATATTGTAAGAGTACAGGCATTACTTCCCATTGATTTTCCAAGGCGTGTGACCTTTGTCAGTGGTATCTTCAAAACATTACACAGAATCCGTAATTTGAATCGATGATTCTGTTCACGGGCGAAGCTAATTTTTCTCGAAATGCCATTCAGAATTTCCACAATAATCATTTGTGGGCGGAATAAAATCCCTATGTCGTAACCGAAACCCATTTTCCAACACCAATTTTCGGTTAACGTATGGGCAGGAATTATTGGCAACCACTTTATTGGCCCATTCTTCTTGCCGGGACGACTTGACGGACAGACTCACCTGAATTTTCTTCAACAACAGTTGCCTTTGCTGCTTGATGATGTTCCGTTAGTAATAAGAAACAATATGTGGTACATGCATGATGGTGCACCAGAGCATTTCAGTGTAGCGGTTCGTGATTATTTACAAACTCTTTATCCAAATCGTTGGTTTGTCCGCGGTGGGCCCCAAGAATCGCCACCAAGGTCCCCAGACTCCAACAGTTTAGATTTATTTTTGGGGGCTATCTTAAGACACTAGTGTACACAAGTCCCATTAATACTGTAGAAGAATTAAGAGAAAGAATAGTTGCAGCTTGTGATAGAATAAAAAACACTCTAAGGATATTCAACGAGTGTGCAATTACATAAGAAGGAGAGGGGAAGCATGCATACTAAGTGAAGGGGGCCATTTTAACAATTTTTGTAATTATTTCGTTGGTTTTAATGTTATGTTTATGTTGTCAGTTGTTGTTGTTCATTTCCCCTAATGTTTTTAATTTTTCCAATTAAATTAATAAGAATTTTGCAAGTTAGACGATAGAACCGTTTTTATTTTTTACTCAAAAATGGCGCATCTAAGGAAAACAATCCAAAAGAAATCATTTGTTTTATATTGAACGGGGAATTCAAAAATAATTTTTATTTGGCCAAAAACTATTGGCGTATCATTTTTTTGTTAAAAAATGTGCAACTTTATTAACTTTCATTACGCACTAAATATCAGTGAAATATCTGAAGCGGTTCTGAAAATATTAATAAATTTCCATTCTTTTCCTAAACGTCAACATCCCGAGCTTTGTAAGGAAACATTTTTGGACCATAGTTTATAAAGCGAACTAACATTAATTTTTCATGTAGATTCACACCCTTAAATATTCGCATATCAATAAGGAACACCCTGTATACTCAGTGACACTAGGAGTGTTACCCCAGAATAAAATAATTGCTACAAACTTGATTTTTTGGCAATGAGGGGTAGCCTTACATCCAGAATGAAACGATAACATTCTCACAAAATTTTATTGACAAGCAATAAGGAAATAAATTAATGTGTTGGGCGACCTCGGAGTTGCTGCTCCTGTATACGTCTAGATATCAACAAAATGAGAAGTCTGGATGTGGCATCTCATTCCAAGCAAACTCGAACTTCGAGGATTAGCTGTGGCAGAGTTTGTGGCGGATGGTGCAAAGTGAATGGTCGCCTCCCCATCATATCCCACACATGTTCGATGGGATTTAAATCCGGTGAGCGGAGTGGCCACGGCAAAATATTAACGCCTGCTTGCTGAAGAAAGTCCTTAGTAAGACAGACAATATGGGGACGTGCGTCGTCTTGAAAAGGGACGTGTGGACGGCCCACTAGGTACGGCAGTAAAGTAGTTGTTGGACATTGCCTTGAGCAAAGAGAACAGGTGATCGGCTACAAAGGCAATAGCCTCCCAAACCATTATTCCAACTGTCCTGTGTTCATGCTTCTCAACAGCATATCCAATATCACGCCGCTTCTCCACGGCGGCGTCTTACACTTCTACGGCCGTCGTGCGTTCCAAGACAGAATCGCGATTCTCGGTGAAGATGACATTATGCCATCCTGCCTTCCAATGTTGCCGTTGTCGGCTCCACTTCAAACGTGGACGGTATGAAAAAAGTCCAAAGGCTCGAATGTACGAATAGTAACAGGTCGACCTTCTTCTGCAAGCCATTGGTCAGCGACCTCACGCGTAGTAGCAAAACGGTCTCGTAGGGCTAGTTGTCTGAAGCGCCTATCAGTTGGCCTTCTGCGAGTTCCTCTACCTTCTTTTATCCACACACGACACACATGCTATTACCGTCATTGCAGTACAACTAACACGGCGGCCAATTTCGCGATGGGACAAACTAACATCTCGATAGGCAATAATTCTACTCCTGCCAAATTTGGACATCTTCTCGAGCCACTTTGGTTATGCTTAACACTAGTAAATGAAAGGGCAATAACTAACAATATCTCTACTACTTCAACTCTCAGGAACTGCCTTCAGCACAAAAACTAAGAGATAGATTTGACAACGGTAAACAAAATCAAAGGTAAAACGTTGACATTGTTGCCATAGCATGCTTTAAATGTAATCATAATGTTGCCAAAAATCCAGTTGAAGGAATTATTTTTTTCTGGATAACACTTCTAATGTCACTGAGTATATGTACGCACCGAATTGGTGCAAGACAAAATAGGTAGCTTGCATCGCTGGAGCTTGGATTATTCAATAAACCAGTATGTCGGATAGTACAGTGTTAGTACAATGGGACGACAAACAAGTCAAGTGTGGCTTGAGCTTTGCCTCTCCACTACCACTACTACTACTCATATCGTTCATCCAAAATCAGCAGAATCTCTAAGTTACCATGCATGAAGTGGAAAAGGCCTGTTTGTGGAGAACATAAAAATGACTTGAGCACTTTACATCGAAAATTAAAAGTATTAATGGTAAGTTAAATGAAGTTAAAATGTGCCAAATATTCAGATATGAAGACTAGAAGTCATTTCAAATGTTTAGTTTATAAAATAAACTGTCTTGTGTTAATTTACAATGAAGCTTACAATTTTAGTTTGTCATTTGGAAATAAAAGTTTAACTTCTAATGCTAAATTGTCGTCTAATTTCTTGAAGTAGTATTTAAACAGTTATTTTAAATTGTAATGTACGTAAATGATCTGAATTACAAAGCTTGATTATTTCAAATAAATATGTCTGCTGGACGTATGATTACACTGATAAACACAGGATTTGTGACATGAGAGTTTTTGGGTGTACCTTATGTATTTTGAGACCCTCAAAACAAATCTAAAAACGAATCTTTCTATCACAAACAGATATTCGGTAACATCTACTTTCATGAATTACAATACTAACATCTCATATTCCTGCATTTCTTGGCATTTATGCGATGACACACATATACAATATTAAGACCTGTCTATTCCTGTTTATACAGGTATCTGCGAGCTCGATGTTTAGAGACCATATTGCGTTTTCTGCATTGAAGGGTACTGAGATGTTCTGAGTACTGTCAATTTTGTTAAAACGGTAAAAAAAATCCAAAAACGTACTTTTACTCCCTTGTGTTGAATGCATACGAACTTTATTTTGGAATCAAATTTGGCGACCAGATAAACTATGGGCCCTCATATATGTTGTAAGACTGTGTACGTTGTTAACAGGTTGGCTAAGAGGCGACAATCGTAAATGTCCTTTCCGGTACCATGGTTTGGAGGAAACTGAGAGACCATACTACTGGTTGATATTTTTGCCTCACAAATCATTAAAGGTATCGGACCAAAATCGAAACATACTGTTAAGTGTTTTAATTTACCATCAGCTTGCGGCCCGTTAAGCATAGTGATGGACTTTCTGTCCCAGTTCCACCAGAACCTTGGTCTTTGGATGAAAACGTCGAATCCACCGATTCTGAAAGTGATGGTACAGAAAGCGAAAAAATTCCGATCCTTCGTTTGACGTGCCAGAATGTTCAACAGCGCCGCATTTGATCACACAGGGCGAGCTTAATGACTTAGTTCGAGAATTAAATCTGTCAAAATCCCCAGTCAAGAACTTTTAGTGTCAAAATTAAAAAGATGGAATTTTCACCACGGTGATGTTAAAAGTACTTTTTACCGAGTTGATATATTCTCCGATGCCAACAATATGTTTGAAGCTTAGTTTAAAAGCGATATTGGTACACAACGGTAATAAACATCCATCTGTACCTTAGCGCACGCAGAATCATATGAAGGAATCATATGAAATATTGGAGTTCTGTTAGAGCATATACTAATGAGTATGGGTGGGCCTATGTGCAGATTTAAAGGTATTAGATCTTCTTCTTGGAATGCAACTGGGATATACCAAATATTGTGGTTTCTTTATGAATGGGACAGTCGTGCGCGATATCATCTTATGAACAGCAGGAGTGGCCACTACTTCAGGTATTAACTTCGGGACTCAAAAACATTGTTCATTGAGCCACTACTTGATCCCAAAAAGTATTGCTTCCGCCTTTGCATATTAAGTTGGGACTGATGACAAGTTTTGTTTAAGCTATGGATCGAAATGGAAGAGGTTTCATTCATTTGAAATCAAACATTACCGAGACTTAGTGAGGAAAAAATTAAAGAGGGCATATTTGGGGTCCACAAATATGAAAACTCATGAAGGGTATTTCAGTATTTGAGTATTTGACATTTCGCTCTAAATGAAACTGAATTACGAGCTTGGAATGCATTTAAATCGGTTACTGCAAATTTGTGAAGCAACGGGATGTAACATGTCTCTAGAAACTCATTTTTGGATTGTCATCTCGATTTTTTCCGGAAAATTTAGATGCGGTAAGTGATGAACATGCTGAACGGTTCGACCCAAAACGTTTCTGCTATGGAAAAACGGTATCAAGGCAATGGAGCGTCAAATTGCTTGCTCGTTATGCTGGAATTGTTAAGAGATACTCAGGAGCAACATATATCCGTAAAACATCGACAGCACTCTGAGATTAATTATTTATAGTATAAGCAGCAAACAAAATGCCTTATTGCATAAAATCGTGGGTGATATAAAAAAACGAATGCTACTTTCCGCATTTTGGGTACTTTTACATAATACCTTGGTTTGTCCATGTCACAAAAAATTATTTTAATTTGTTCACCAGTGTTATTTATCCAGTTTATTAAATGATTATCTCTCTAGGGTTAAGGATAACAAATAATCTTATGAATAGTCAAAGATCGATAGCTGCACAAAGAATCCATTAATGGTCAAAGCCAGCAAACCTTCTGATTGCGTAGCATTAGCGATAAGTTAAAATCAAAGCAACTAACCATATATGAAGCATCTGGAGTAAGTGCTTAATGTCACACATTCAATAATTAATAATACAATCATGGACTCACTTCATCTTACTCTTCAGCATGATCAATACGTGTTCTTCTCTTTCAAAACCTCCTGCGCTCTCAAGCAAACATCACACTTAATGTTAACCAGCTCTTGTTTGTTATCCTTAACCGGAATCACTTCTAGATCTGTTTGTGTCTCAACGATCTACTGTTTATTTTTGAGTATGTCTGATAAGCAGATTTCGTTTCTGGCTCTGTCAGAGCTTCTTTAGGACACTGTATTAGTATCAACGGATTTGTGCAAAAGTAGCACATCTTCATCCAGTTTTGCAATTTGTTATCTTGAATCTTTATCCTTTCTAAGAAATGCTGTATTTGAGACCTCTTTAATTCGGATTGGCGTTTATAGCGAAGTTCCTAGAAAAAAGAAAATACCTCTTGAAGAGGATGATTCGAACAAAAAAAAAGAGATGCTGAAGTACGCTGTGTCAATTTATATCAGTTTTTCGAAAATATGCCCTTGCTGGAACTTCATTCTAAATTCATAATAATAATGTTGGAATGATATTGCTTTACCTAAAACTCTCCCTCACCGGGATGCCATGGCGACGGAGTCAGTTTTGCAGCCATGGCCACTTCTGGATTCGATGGAGTAGCCACAGAGAGCTAACAGTGACAGAGTGATGACCTCATTTTCGTCGTTTCAGAATGAAATTAGAAAAGGTCATGACAATTTATCATCTCATAGAGTAGAACATAATGAAGGAAACCAAAACGAAGAAACTTCGGGTGCATTCCTTCATCTCTGATAAAGACCGAGACAATTTTTTCAAATGCGACAAACACACATGATTTTTACATGTTTTCAAATGTTGCGATCATAGCCGCGATGACATCGATGACACTTCACAAATGTCACTAATATGACTCACTAACAAGTATTTTAATGACGTAGTTTATTGGCAACGTTGTAATCTCAGAGTCGCCAGCACGTAGCCATCGCCTCCCGGTGAAAGACGAGCTCTTACGCTAATTTGTAAATTTTTCTTTTCCTGCATCCACGTGATGGCCTCTTGATACTCCTTTTTATGTATTCCTGAAAGTAATTCTCTCCTTTTTTTAAATAATCCAAATCTAAGTTCAGTTTTTCTTTGAACACCTGTGCTTCATTTTCCAAACTTCTAGCTCTATGGAGAGCGAGGAAAGCTTCGTGTTTTTCTCTATTTATGATCCTCAGATTGCTGATGTAAGCTTCTTCCGATCTTAGAGGAACACAGCCCAGATACTGTATTTTCTGCATCTTCAATAGGTTCTGCAGGTGTCTATAGACAAAAATAATATCCTTATAAATTGAGAATAAAATTTCATTCAGCTAGTTAGAATTTTAATTAGGCCAATTAAAAAAATAACTATCTGACAGCTGACAATTTTAATTAATTCAGTTAAACTCTGGTTTCTAAAAGAGTTTACTGGAATCTATGAAACTAGTTTAATTAAGCCAAAACGCATTTGTTCAGTTAAATTTAGTAAACCGTTTACTCAGATTGAGTACACCACTTCATTTAAAATTAGAGAAATATTAAAATGAGGTTACCTGCTCAAGTAAAACAATTTAGATATATTTATTAAATTTCTTTAATCAGATTAGGTAAATATATTTGCCCAGTTACTATGAATTATTTATTTCGATTTAAAAGCATAACTGAATATTTGGGATGTAAAAGAACAAATTGCGTTTTAACTGAATGATGCATAACTGTGCTCTAACAAAACTTAGACATCAAAAAACTTGAGATACTTGATATTGATAGTTAATGTTTTCGAATCAAAGTAAAAACTTTCGAACGTTATAACCGTAACAACTTATATATATGATAGTCATTATTTCAATGGTTGATAGAGGGGGTTAAAAGACGCAAAAAGTTTCATATAACATGGGGGTCAAACCGAGGTCAATCCATCGGATTGAGATCAGAAGATCTTGCTGGCCATTTTCGAGGATCAGGATCCAGCGACTTGGATAATGTGTAAATGTGTGGTGGTGGTGCCCCGTCATGAAGAAACCACAAATTTTGTCTTCGTTGTAATGGTATATTGTCTAAGGTCTGTTGCAAAGGTTCTGGTAGGTTATTGGCTAGAAAGCTAAGGTATCCTACTCCTGAGAACTTTGGGGGTAACTCGGAAGGGCCAGTTACCTGATCGTGAAGAATACCCTCCCAAACATGTATTTCAAAACGTTGTTGGAAATGACCTTGACGAATGGTATGAGAATTTTGTTGGGCCCACATGGGAGTATTATGTAAATTTAATATCCCGTCTCGCGTAAAAGTACATTCGTCCCTCGCTAGAATGTTTTTAGAAAAATCCGGATTTTCAATGTTTTTGTGCAAAAACTACTGACATAATGTTTGTCTGCGAGGATAGTCTTTTGGTAACAAGGCCTGCACTCGTTATACATGGTAAGATAACGCAAATTTTCCCGTAGGATTCTTTGGACTATGGTTTGCGATAGTCCTACGCGGCTGCCTTATTCCCGAGTCCTATATCTGCATTGATTTCCACGATATTTAAAATTTGTTCCTCCTGCTCTAGAGTAACTTGTCTTTCACGAGTGCGAATATTAGTGGGCTAAACACTTCCTGTGTCTCGAAGTCTTTGGTACACTTGCACAAATGTCCTTCTGTCTGGGTGTACCCGTTGGCGAAATCTGTCGCGATAAATTTGAGCTGCAAGACTTGAATTCTGACGAGCTTCACCGCAAACTAACAACATGTCGGTGAAATCTTGATTCGAGAACATTGTAAAAATAAACACGACGATGTACGCGAACAAAAACAAAACAACATACTAACCACAGTTACCGTTTGCGATCGATTGCCGGTTCGATAAGAGTGATGAAAAACCGACGCGCTGTTGTCATGTGTGTTTTAAATATTCCATTTAATGAAATTTACTTACTTACTGACTACAAATTTTAGCTTAACTTAGAAAAACTTAATGCCACTTATTTGTTAATTACTCAACTTAAAAACGTTTTAGATTAGATTATAAAAATTAGTAAGATTGTGGTGATTGTGGTCGATATAAAGCACTTAAAGTTGTAAACTATAAAGCCATTTAGACAAAAATCTATTGACTTTTAGACCATGGGTCATATGAACTTTTTGACTAGCTTTGACCCTTCTTACCCATTTCAATAATGACTACCATAACGTTTACACCCTGTATATCACCATTCACTAGAAGCAATTATTTGTTTTAAATTCATAAAGTAAGGAAAGTGATTGATACCTGACAATGAATAAGGTCACTTGGTCATGTGTACAGAAATTGTATACATCGCCTATGTTTGGTATATCAATTGTCCACCGGAGTGTGCTAGATATACAGGGTATCCAATAAGTACCACGAAAAACTTAAGGAGAAGGTAGGCTGTGGACTGACCTCCCAAATAACAAAAACTTACTTATATAAAAGTGTCACCGTTTTTGAGATATTGAATTCATTCTTAAATTTTAAAAAAACGAACCTTCTCATCTCTGGTCTTTAGCTGCATGTACAAGGTTATACTTTTTTCATTTTGTTCTATATAATACTTCTAGATAGTTGCTTTATCATAAACAAATGCAATGTAGTTAAAAGATATTGAGGGACCATGATAAAATAAGGGCAGTTTTGGGATGTATAACCGTCTGATATTTTTCCTCAACTTTCATAAAATCATATCAGGAGCAGGTAATAATAATGTAGCTATTCTACTATTTAGCATGTCACTGATCGGTAACCAGTGCAACTTGAATTTAAATCCAATAATTACACTGTAGTGTGTGTCAGTCACTTACAAAAACAGCTATCACTTTTTTCTGTTCCAAATAGCACGTGCGGTGCATTTCTGAAATCTGTATTCAATGAGCAATTTTTATTCAATATAATGCAGTTATAGTCCAGGACATTTTTGTTTCACCACAGATGGTCAAAGTTGAGGAAAAAATATCAGAAGGTTATAAATCCCAAAATAGCCCTTATTTGATCATGGTTTCTTAATAGCTTTTAACTAAATTGCATTTGTATATGATAAAGCAACTATCTAGAAGTATTTTATAGAAAAAATGAACAAAGCATAACCTTATTTGTACATGCAGCTAAAGACACAGATGAAAAGGTTCGTTTTTTTAAATTTAAGAAAAAATTCATTATCTCAAAAACGGTGACCCTTTTATAGGTAAGCTTTTGTTATTTGGGAGGTCAGTAGTTCAAAGCCTACCTTCTCCTTAAGGTTGTCGTGGCACTTATTGGACACAATGTATATATATTATATATATATATATATATATATACGCGAGCAGTAGTAATTGCCATTGCAATCTCAAGCTTTCCGCATTCTCTATGGAGCCTTCTTCAGGAGTCGTCGTTGAGGTTGCAGCCAAATGGTGTTTCAAAACGAACGCGGGGATGAGAGCACTTATTACAAATATAAAACCAAACGGACGGAGACATTGGGTTTATTGATAATGACGGAAACCATCTTAGGTGTTAACACTAACATATATCAATACACCGAACACATTGAAAATTAACGAAAAGCAATTTTGGGGACAAAAACCGGAACATTCCTTCTAACCTCCTACATCTGCTTGCCGAAAGCTTGAGATTACCGTTAATAGAATTTACTAAGGCCTACAAAGTTTGTCAATTTCCCAACTAACAATTAATTGTATATACATATATATATATATATATATTCTTTGACCTCAGTAAGTGAATTTCAAAGTTCTTTACATACCGCAACGTCAGCAGTACCCCCCCATACAGGGTGTCCCGAAAAAAGTGTGCAATATTCTACCAGCGGTTTCCTATCATGTGACAAATTTTTTTAGTTTGATTTTATTCAAAAATGGCACGATTTATCAATATTCAATAATAGTACCTTTTTATGTACCATAGATTTTCAAATTCTAAAATTGAATTTCAAAATAGAATCACACAAAA